AATCGCCAGCTCTGAATAAGGAACAAACAAAAAATACGAACCAAGAGCAAAATGTATTTCTGTGTAGCAAGACTTTTAACATGAACGTGTTTTCTTTGGTTTTGTTGTTTCTGTTTGGTTCTGCTGTAGTTTGGGCTGCTGGCCAGCATGTCCCAGCTTTACCGGCTCACAGATCTAAATCGGGGATTATCTTGCTGTTCTTGTTGTTTTTGTTTTTGTTTCAAGTGTATGGCCTCGATCACATTAACTGATCTGGTCGTGTTTTGAATTCTAAAGAAAACTAAGCTATCACAACCAGGACTGTCTTCTTACAGTGAATCCATTATAAGCTACAATAGTAGGCACATTTATGGTCACAAATCCTTTGTTTATATTTCATGTAAACATGATCTAACTTTCTCTGCTAAAATCCCAATGTCTGAGGGTTAATAAAGCAATATTCTTATTAAAATATTATAAAATGTAGGGCGAATTTTCTATTTTTAATGTTATGAGTACTTTGCAACATGCTTTCATTTACTTGACAAATTTAGTGGAATTTTCTTCCATTTCTTTTGCTTACTCTTATTTACAACATATCCTGTTTATTGAAATTCCATATTTGCAAATTTACTGATTTGCTAATGTTTACTTGTAACCCAATGACAACATTCTCAGTGCTTTTATAACTAAACACAAAAAAGTTTGTTCTTATACATGACTACCTATTAAATGAGTTATTTATTTGGTCCCTGTTCATTCTGATTATTGGTGCTAAATAAGAAAGTGGGGAAATGTAACCTGCCTGGCAAAATATATACTAAAGATAGATTTGTGTCTCTGAATCTGACTGTCAAAAACTAATGAAGCAACAGACCCCAAAGAAATGGTAATTTCCTCCAGAATCTCATGCTGAGAGAGAGAGAGAACCACACCAGAGAAGGAACTTGTCTAACCTGAAAGAGATTTTATACAAGATGAGCCTGAAAACCGGATGAGTTAATGGTGGGTGGAACTCTACCTTGACTGGACAGCTTAGATGTGCAAATCGTTGGCCTCTATTTAAACTCTCTCACTTCAGAAAGCCAAAGATAACCTTGAGGGGTTCACTGAAGCCCTTTGTCACTCTTCCCACTGTGACCACACTGAAATAAATCTCCTTTTTCTGATTCCACTATTAATTGTCTCTTTTTATTGGCTTATTGGTGGTCAGACATGACTTGGGGCACAGGTTATGACCCCTAACTTCAGTTAACACTTCTGTCATCATCACTACATGTAAACACACAAAATGAACAAAGATTGTAATTTCCTGACATAGTTTCCAAGCTGAAAATAAACAGAGCAAAGGTCAATGTCAGTTTTGTCTTCAATTCTCACACTGTGGGTGAGTAGCACTTTTGTGGTATGTTTAGTGTCAGCTTTTTCACATTTTTGATTTTTTTTTTTTGTTGGTGAGTTCTGTATTTAAAATGGTTCCCAAGCATAGTTCTGATATGCTTGAAATTTAGCTTGCCTACATACAAAAGAATTCTGATGCACTTTTTTTTAATTTTTCTTTTTTTAAAACAATTAATTTTTTTATTTATTACAATTTATTCAATTTGTATCCCATCTATAGCTCCTTCCCTCATCCTCTCCCAATCCCACACTCCCTCCCTCTTCCTCCCAAGCACCTCCCCCAGTTTACTGATAGGGGAGGTCCTCCTCCTATCTGACTCTAGCCTACTGGAGACTAGCTGCATTGTCTTCCTCTGTGGCCTGGTAAGGCTGCTCCCCCTTCAGGAGGAGGTGATCAATCCACCCATGAAAAGAAGGAAATTGTCTATGCAAAAATAAAAAATAAAGAAAAGAAAAAGAAAAAGAAGGCCAGTTTACTTTTATTTACCTTACAGGAAAATAAGAGAGAATTTGTTCTGAAGCCCTTTTGAATGACCATGGCCCAGAAACACAGATATAGATTACCCTAATTTTCATGTTCTAAGAGGTAAGCAATTTCATGAAGTTTTAGAGTTTTACAGAACAAAGTAATTCATAAATTAAAAAAAGGCACGTTTAAAGTGTATCAGTGAATCGTGGCTATGGCAAGATGGGGGACCATGGCCTGTGTTGTGGGTATTTAATATTTACTATTGATTTATCTTTTAGTAAAGCAGCGGTTATTCCTAAACAAGCTGTATACCCAAATCACCACATAGAGACTGGGATTTATTTAATTAACCTAGAGCACAATGCTGGGCAATAGTTACTCCATCCTAAACCTCCAAGCCCACATAGTTTCCTACCATTCAGATTTCACCCATTATACTTGCTTTCAGTCATTTCTTAGGTCTGGTTCATCTCTCGATATAGTTCTAAGTTCTCTCCTCCTGACCTCTGCTCTTCCCTCCTGCTTCCTCTCTTACCCCTCCAGACCAAGATATCCCACCCTATCTTCTCCATTGCACAGCACTGGCTGGCTGTTTAATTGACAATATAGAGAACAAATGGTGGCATATTTACACAAACTTGAGACATGTGATTCTTAGAATGAACATCACAATGTAATGTCCAGATTGAAACCAGATAATGGGGTAGAGAAATCAGCATTTGAATGAACAAGGATAAATTGTGTACATTCCAAAAGAACATTCTACCAACAGGCCTGTGGTGGCATTCTTAGTGGTTTTGGTTGGTAGAAGCTACTGTGCTAAATTAATGCATTTCAGGAGTTTTTATCAATTCATCATATGATGCTAGTTCAAAAGGAGGAATGACTGACTGTTCAGGGGGTGGGGAAGTGCTAAGAGTAGCCCAAAATAGCCTCTTGACTTGGAACACTCCAACTCTCTCCATAGTACTGAAATTTTAACCAGTCATTCAGTTTGTGGAAACACAACTCTTCATAGAATTCTCATTCACAAAAATTCATCAGTTTGTACATGACAGATTGCTCCAGGACCTGTGAAATTGAAATTTACTCTACATGATGACTCTATTGAAAAATGGCTAAATTCCGAATTTATTATGTGAAGACTATTTTGTTTTGTTGTGTTATTTTGTTTTTTGTTTTGTTTTGTTTCTTAATGTGGTGAAGAACATTCACGTGAAGTTGAAAGCCCACAAAATTTTTGATTGCATATTTCCTAAAGTAAGGTATGGAGAAGGCAAGGAAAGTTCTTCAGATGCAAAAAAATTTACTAAGTGCCTGTTAATTGCTATTCAGGAAAAGCATTATGAGAAAGAGCAGTCCTGATAAGACTGACTGCTTTTATAGGACTTTGGCAAGTGGCCTTACTTAATGCAGATGCTGTTCTGGCTCATAGGACCTTATTCTTTGTTTTACTAGGAGTAATAGTTGGTGTTCACTAATTTAATTCATTGTTTCCAGAAGTTTATAGGATCTAACAGTGAAATACAGTGAGAGAGAGCCAACTGCATGTTTGTACTGCATTTGTGCTTCATAGGTAAGATAGATGAGTTGCAGCTTTCTAAAAATCTCATTTCTCACATGAACAAAATTTCTGGAAAGGAGCTGTGTCCACAAAGCCTGATTGACTGACTAAAGTTGCAGTGATGTGGAGAAGTGGAAATGTTGCCGGTCCAGATGCTAATTACCTTCTATTGAGCTAGCTTTAGCCCAGAGCATCCATTCCTTGTCCATGTTTGTATGTATCAAAACTAGCATAATCAACTAATACATAAAATCTTTTGAAATCTAGTAATTTAGAAGGCAACTGGTTACCACTAACCCAAAAGCTAAGACTGTCATCAGATAGCATTTTAGACCTGTTGAAAAGCTTTCCCTTTCTTGCTATAATGACCTTTCTACTATACCCTTTAATATATTTTAAAGTTACCTTGATTTATGACTGCTTTCATACAGTAAAACTATAAAACTTCACAAAACTGTTTTATTGCCAGCAAAGGCTAACAGAGACTGTATAATAGGTATGCAATAACTTATTTCTAAATAAATGAATAGCATACAGTATAAAAAATAATAGACCAACAAAAATGCACCATCTAAACCAAAATGGCTGCCTTTATCATAATAGTGTCCCTATTTTGGGTGTAATGGAAGCAAACAATATAGTGATCTGATAACAACAAACTGGGACTTACTGAATACCAGTGAAAATCATACCAATATTTCTATGGTTAAATATCATCATGAACTAATGCAGAGAAAGGTTCTAAGCAGCCTTAATGTGAAGCTATTATATAACATGTATAGGGTTATAAATTACCATATTGTATTCAGTTACAGAAATTATGCAAGTATCTAGTTTCACTGCACTGTCTAGTTTATCTGTTGACTCTGTAATAATAACAAGTACAGTATTAACCCAATTATAAAATCAAGGCAATAACAAAAAATAATTTTACTATGATTTCAGCATGGATATTTTAATAATTAAAACTGATTGGTAAACAAATGTAGATTAATTTCTGTTAGAACAGGCTCTTTGTAATAGTTAAAGTACTAGCTTTAAGTCTTGTAGGATAGTTTTAAATTAACACTTATGCCTCATTTGACTACTCAACAATGTGCATTTGAAAAACAACTCTTTTGAGAACTATGGTCTTCCAAGAACAGATTTTTTTTTTAAATCAGAATTTTCAAATATTTTTCTGCATTTTATTTTGCATATGTCTATTCCCAACAGTTTTTAGAAAATGTATTCATTAACATTAATTGGGTAATATTATGAGTCACTTTTAACTTCTAAATTAGACTTTAAGTGTTCTTCACTTATGATAAAATGCTGTGAAAAAGAGGCCATCTGCTGAGGCGGTATGGTTACACTTGGCCTTCAGAATGTACTTGGCATCTTCTGTTAGCACTCCTGTTGATTACAAATCCACAAAACAAGTTCACCTTGATCTTTCACATTAAGTCCAGAGTATCTTGGGGAAAATAAATTTGACATAAATGTAAACCTGTGACGTTTCCATCTAAAAAAGGTTAAAATCAAATAGCGCTTTGTGTTCACTTATAATAAAACATCAGAAGTAACAGAGACTCAACTCTTGAAGCCTGTCTTTGGTGAAATATGGCTAGCAATGCCTCTCTTGAACAGGACCAAAATCACTGCTCAGCCATCAACAACAGCATGCCCCTGATACAGGGAAAGCTCCCCACTCTAACCTTATCTGGAAAGATCCGGGTGATTGTGACATTCTTCCTTTTTCTACTCTCTACTGCCTTTAATGCTTCTTTCCTGTTGAAGCTGCAAAAGTGGACTCAGAAGAAGGAGAGAGGGAGAAAACTCTCAAGGATGAAGATACTTTTAAAGCACTTGACCCTAGCCAACCTGTTGGAGACGCTGATTGTCATGCCACTGGATGGAATGTGGAATGTTACAGTCCAGTGGTATGCTGGGGAGCTGCTTTGCAAAGTTCTCAGCTATCTGAAGCTCTTCTCTATGTATGCCCCAGCTTTCATGATGGTGGTGATTAGCCTGGACCGCTCCTTGGCCATCACTCATCCCCTCGCTGTGCAAAACAACAGCAAGCTTGAACAGTCCATGATCGGCCTGGCTTGGATTCTCAGCGTTGTCTTGGCAGGACCACAGGTAAAACATTACTCCTGAGCTTGTGTGAATATGGTGATTTTCTATCTAATCTTGAGTCAAGGTAGAACCTTTTGGGCTCTCTGAAAGTCAGAGAATAGACTTCAACCCAAACCACTTTGTTTTCTTGAGCAAACTCCTTAATCTCTCTGAGTTTCTGTTGATTTATTTATAAAATGGGGTAAATGTCTACCTCACCTGCTGTCATGATGATTAGATAAATAATATATTAAAGAATCAACTATTATCTGTATTAAAATGCCCCTTAAAATATCTTCTCACAACTGACTACATCTCCATCCCCTCCATGTTTCTCAGTCTTCCTCTTATGGAGACTTGAAACAGTCACTTAAAGCCTACAGCCTCAACATCTGACTTACAGGGGTTATAGGAATGCTCCCATTGGCTCAGCTTCCTCTGCTTTTCTTTTGCTCTGGCTGAAATGGAGAGAATGCTCAAGAGCCATGAAACTTACACAGGAGAAAATATTTAAGCATTTCTTACTTGATATTTACTATGTACCAACTAAGAATTCTGCTGCTGCAAACAAGCACAAACTATATTGATGATTACGTTGTTCTTCGCTAATTGTCCTGAAATATCTGACTTTTCAAAAACCAGATCACTGAAGAAAATATGAACAAATTCTTGCAAATAATGTAGAGCTTGTCATTAACAGAGGGATAAGTTGTCATTATGCTCTCTAGTGCTCTGTATTATAAGAATGTCATAGAAGTAAGAGATCTCTAAAACACAGTAAAAACTTACCTGAAAAAAAAATGGAAATCTGCCTACACATTCTAAACCATCTACATGTCTAAAGAACAAAACTGCTATGCAGAACTAAGTATTGTAAGTATTGTAATGTTTCCTCACTAAATTGAGAAGCAGTATTTAATTAATATGTGTCAAAAGGAAAAAGAAATAAGAAAAGCTGAAATGTTTTTACTTCCCTGGAGAAAAGCACAGTTACTCCTAAGAGTAAGTTTCACAGACATGTCCCTTGAAATGAGATTATTTAGCTAAGGTTTGTGTTCTTCTATCTTCTATTTTCCTTGAGCAATGCTTATTGGTTGGTTTCCTCAAAGAAAAGAAACACAAGCTGGTGGCAGAGGGAGTCATTCTTTCATGGAGACAAAATATATGTAAAACTAATACAACTAGGTATGAAAAACTCAAAAATATACAAGTAGAAGAAGATAAATAAGTAGTAACTTTAATATGAAATGATTAGGAAAGGTTTAGAGGGATGAAAAACTGAAGAAAGGCACTTACGTACTTTTCAGAGAGTACTAAAGGGTATGACTGGTTTCCATAAGACACATGTTTGGTTGAAGTGGAAGGCTGAAAGCTACGAACAGCGAAAAAGTGGATCAGCGGTTTCCCCGTTTTCTTTGAGTTGAGAGTATACTATGTATTTGTCATAAAATAGTGTGGTTGTGTTTGTCATGTAGAAGCTAATGTATTTGTTGTACTACATTATAGTACCTAATAAAATACTTAGCATAGTACAAATTTAAAAATTTTGTATGAACAGTTTTTATGATTTTATGCTATTGATTGAAAATAATGCTAGGCATGGGGATACATATTTGTAACCCCACCCTTGGGGTGCAGAGGCAGAAGGATTAAAAGTTCAAGCATAGTGAGAGTTACATAGAAATTCTAACTCAGTAAAAGACTGGGGTGTAGCTCAGTGGCATAGCCCTTGACTGAAAGCTTTACGTCCAATCCTGAGTACTGATGAATGGAATGTAATTAATTAATTTTTAAAGATATAACAGTAAAATACTTGGATCTACAAATGAATGAGGAAAAATAATTTTAATTATATAAGGCTTTGAAATACTCAAAAAGCCCTAAATTAATGAGAAAGCCTGATAGATTTCATGGATTCTGTATAATGAATAAATGTAGCATATGAAATTTGTTTTAATTGTGAAATAATATTATCTATATGGTACAATGCAGTATTTTGATAAATATAATTATAAATATAAATATAATATATAAATATAAAAATAATCTAATTCATAAAAATTAGATTACATAATTAGAATAAATATAACTTCAATCTAAAGTGGCTTTTTAAAACATAAATATTTTAACAAAATATATGTAGTTTCAAACAGTACAATGAGACAAAAAATAATTTTAAATAATCTAGCAATGACGTGATTAAACTGAGGGTAGAATGATATCAGAGAAATCGAACGCTCTGCTAACATGTCCTGAAACCCCTCACATGCTTCTTCTTGTTGTTTGTTGGGCAGAAGGTCTTAAATAGCCCAGGACGGTCTCAAATTAGCTAAGTAGCCAAGGATGTCTGTGAACTTCTGATCCTCCTACCTCTGTCTCCTGTGTGTGGGGATTACATGTCTGTAAAACTGCATGCAGTTTATCTAATGATGGGGATCAAACCAGGAGCTTTGTACCTGCCTGCCATACTCTTTCAGCTGTGAGACTTTGAGAAAGTGACCTGGCTACGTTTAAAAGAGTAATTGTGAGCCTGGGGTTGTAGTGTATTCTTTTAATACAGGCACTTAAGAAGCTGAGGCAACAGGATGGAAAACTCAAGGCTACCATGACTAGGTGGCTCAAACCAGACAAATGCATAAGCCACTTAAAGAATAAGTTATATGTAAAACTACCCACTATAATTCTTTAATTTTAATAATTAGGTTAATATTCATGTTTGTCTCTTCCTTTCATTTTTCCTCATAATAAGCTTTTTGTCTTCCTCTGTGGACTGGAAAGGCTGCATCCCCACCCCACCCCCAAGGGGGAGGTTATCAGAGAGCAGACCACTGAGTTCATGCCAGAGGAAGTCCCTGCTCACCTTACTAGGGACCTCACTTGGAAATGAGTCTATGGGCTACATCTGAGCAGGGATTTTAGGTCCTCTCCATGCATTGTCTTTGGTTGGGGTATCAGTCTCTGCAGAGCCCCCAGGGATCAGTTTTTATGGTTCTGTTGGTCTCCTTTTGGAGCTCCTGCCCCCTCCTGTCTTTCTATCTTCCCCTTCTTTCATAAGATACCCTACACTCTGGCCAAAGACCTGATAAGCTAAGATCAAATAGAAGGGGAAGAGTACCTCCCCTATCAGTTTACTAGGGAAGAGACATGGGGGAGAAAAGGGAGGAAGAATGGGATTGGGAGGAGATGAGGGAGGAGGCCACAGCTGGGACACAAATTGAATAAACTGTAATAAATGACAATAATAAATTTTTAAATTAGCTTTTTGAAGTTAGACAGAAAAAAACTGAAATATGAGAATTTGTTTTCTTTAAGAAATAGTTAGCTTCTTTAGGTGTACAGATTTTAGTATGCTTATCCTATAGTAGATGTCTAATATCCACTTATAAGTGAGTATATACCAAGTGTGTCTTTCTACTTCTGGGATACCTTACCCAGGATGATCTTTTCTTGATCCTACCATTTGCCTTTAAATGTCATGATTTCCTTGTTTTTAAACCAAGGACCATTCATGGATATAACCTAGAACCCCTGCTCAGATGTAGCCCATGGCAGCTCAGTATCCAAGTGGGTTCCCTAGTAAGGGGAACAGGGACTTTTTCTGACATGAACTCAGTGGCTCTTTAATCACCTCCCCCTGAGAGGGAAGCAGCCTTATAATGCCACAGAGGAAAACAATGCAGCCAGTCCTGATGAGATCTAATAAGTTATGATCAGATGGAAGGGGAGGAGGACCTCCCCTATCAGCAGACTTGGAGAGGGGCATGGGAGGAAGTGAGGGAGGGAGGATGGGATGGGGAGGGAATGAGGGAGTTGACTATAGCTGGGATACAAAGTGAATACACAGTAATTAACTGAGGGGGGAGCAGCCTTACCAGGCCACAGAAGATGACAATGCAGCCACTCCTGATGTGATCTGATCGACTAAGATCAGAAGGAAGGAGAGGAGGACCTCCCCTACCAGTGGACTTGGGGAGAGGCATGAATGAAGAAGGGGAAGGGAGGGTAGGACCAGGAGGGGTAGAGGGAGGGGCTTTTGGGGGGGATACAAAGTGAATACAGTGTAATTAATAAAATTTAAAAAACAGAAATTAACATAAAAATTAAAATTTAAAACAGGCAAAAGAGTTAAAGACAATGCTTACATAGAAAGGGAATTATTCAAAGTTGCCAAAATTTTACTTTGCATCATACTAATCAGGAAACTTTCTCACAGTGCCCTCAGACCACAAAACTACACTACTCACTGAAAGCTACTTGTGCCAGAACATGATAACTCAGATCTTAAAGTTATCATTTCTAAAAGTAAGTTCAAAGAGGAAGAAGGAAAATGCAGGAGGGAGACAGGGAATGAGATAGAGCAGCAGACAAGCCTTGGGAGGAGCTCTTCTTTATGGCCATACATTTCTTAATTTAGGTGTGGCTCCACATAATTAAGTCACATTCCTTAATGAGAGTCATCTAAGACCACAGGAGTACAGAGTCGCAAAGTATTTGCAGGAAGAGTTCATGTTCCTGGCTTATCTTGTTCATGTGGAGTATTACCATAGCAGCTTTTAAATTCAATAGCTAACACAGGCCTGTAGGCAAGAAACTTGGGCACTCCTTAGTTAGCTTCTGGAGTGAGGAAGTATGGTTTGAAGATATGTAGAGACTTGCCTTGACACATGAGCTAATGTACTGAGTAAAATGCACTTCTGAACTTGACAAGCAGCTCAAATTCAATAAATACTTACCTCCCATGAGCAATGTGCCAAACATTGTTTAAGGCGCAGTAGCAGCGTGCTAGACTCAGTAGTAGCAATAACAAGATGATGAATAATAGTTGAAGACAAAAATGTGTGTCAGAATAGTTCACGGATGTTCCCAACAACAATATAAATTATGCACGTTATTCTTTTTTATATGAATAAATTAAGTCCATAAGGATTCTATGACATTCCCAGGGTATGTAAAATGAGTGGAAATTTTAATATATTACAGTTAATCATACAGGCAAGGTATAAATAACAGTACTCCATTTGTTC